TCAAAAATATTTCCTGTCTGAAAACAAAATTCATGCATGAAAGGGAAATGGAAAAAAATGGAAAAATCCTTGTAGAAACACCTTGGGCCAGGGCGGCCAGTGCAAGTGAGTCCGTCGGACCGCCCGACTGAAAATGGAATTTATGCGTGAAAGGGAAATGGAAAAAAATGGAAAAATCCTTGTAGAAACACTTGGGGCCAGGGCGGCCAGTGCAAGTGAGTCTGACTGAAAACAGAAGTCGTGCATGAAAGGGAAATGGAAAAAAAATGGAAAAATCCTTGAAAAATTTAATTTTAGGGCTAACGGGCATACAGCGGACAGCTAGCTGAATGCCATTTTCTTCACTTATGAACACATCTTTGACACAAAAAAATTGAAAAAACTAGTTATTTACAAGAAAAAATATTTTTTTATGCCTTAAGAGAACCTTGAAAAAACACATTTTTTACAGGAAAAAAGCCCCAAGAAAACCAGTCACATGCTGTTAACTTAAGTGGAAAAATCCTTGTATGAACACATTTTTGACACAAAAAATGATCTTTTTATGCCTTAAGAAAACCAAAATCACTTCCTTGCTGAGCTCATAAATCTTTCATTAAAGGGTTCAAACACATGCTGTCAACTTGAGTGGAAAAATCCTTGTATGAACACATTTTTGACACATTTTTTAAGCCCTAAGAAAACCAAAATCACTTCCTGACTGAGCCCATAGTTGATGCCTGACCTGTCAACTTGAGTGGAAAAATCCTTGAAAATAACATTTTTTTCTGGATTTTTAAAAATAATGTATGCCTTAAAAAAAACAAAATCTCTTCCTGTCTGAGCCCCTAGTTGACGCATGAAAGGGTTAAAACACTTTCTGTCAACTTGAGTGGAAAATTCCTTGAAAAAACCCTTTTTTTCTGGATTTCTTTTTTTTTTATGTCTTAAAAAAACCAAAATCACTTCCTGACTGAACACAAACTTCACGCATGAAAGGGTTCAAACACACGCTGTCAACTTGAGTGGAAAAATCCTTTTATAAACAAATTTTTGACATAAAAATTATCTTTTTATGCCTTAAGAAAACTAAAAACACTTCCTGACCGAAAACACAATTCATGCATGAAAGGGTTAAAACACATGCTGTCCACTTGAGTGAAAAAATCCTTGAAAAAACTTTTTTTTCCTGGATTTTTTATTTTTTATGCCTTAAGAAAACCTTGAAAAACCAAAATCACATGCTGTCCACTTGAGTGAAAAAAACACATTTTTTTCTGTATTTTTTTTTGTTTTTATGCCTTAAAAAAAACAAAATCACTTGCTGTCTGAGCCCATAGTTGACATCTGACCAGGTTGAAGCTGTGTTTGGTCTGACCTCTGACCTCTGTCCCCCCCCCTCTACCCCCCCCCCAGCCCCCTGTACGCCCAGTACTGTAAGGACCACTACGCGGACGGCCACTGCGACCAGGGCTGCAACAACGCGGAGTGCGAGTGGGACGGCCTGGACTGCGCCGAAAACGTCCCGGAGAAGCTGGCGGACGGCCACCTGGTGCTGGTGGTTCAAATCCCGCCCGATTTGCTGCGGAACCGGTCCTCCTCCTTCCTGCGCGAGCTGAGCGGCGTGCTGCACACCAACGTGGTCTTCCGCCGGGACGCCCGCGGGGAGCCCATGGTCTTCCCCTACTACGGAAACGAGCAGGACCTGGTCCGGCACCGCGTGATGAAGAGGTCCGCCGAGGGGTGGAAAGACTGGGCCGCGCCCGCCGCCGCCAT